AAAATTAAGGTTGATAGGTTTTATTGAAAAAATGTTATGATGCAATTCCTAGTAAAATTTTATTTTAAAAAAATGTTCAGAAATATATTTAAATATGAATACTTGGGGGATTTTTTTAAAGTCAAATGAGGCAACAGGGCAGAAAGGACTTAGGAACGAACACATGCAAAAGTGACTTACGGGAAATAGAGTGTTCATTCAAGTTTTGCAGGTTTTGAAACAATGCAAAAGAGACTGCACAAGCGGGTGGAACTGGATGTGGGCGGGGATTTTGCATATTGCAAGGAATGGTTTCTCTTTGGAAATGCCTTCAGCTTTCTTCGCGGAAATGTTACACACCCTTCAGAATTTCTCTTATGACAATAGGGATGTCCCATTCAAGAAGAAGAAGAAGTTTACTATTTATACCGCTCCCAACTGACTGGATTGCCACTTTGGGCAGCTTCCAACCTATAGAAAAACATAATAAAACATTCCTTCCAGTAGCACCTTAGAAACCAACTAAGTTTATTCTTGGTATGAGCTTTTGTGTGCATGCACACTTCTTCAGATACACTGAAACAGAAGTCACCAGACCCTTATATATAGGGAGAGGGTGGGGAGGGTTCACCCATTCCCACCACCCTTCTGAATAATCCCCCATTACCTCCAGGCTTAATTAGCTTTTGACACATCACAGGAAGCACCAGCTGGGCTTAATTAGCTTTTGACACATGTTGATTCCAGTGGGTTAGAAGCATCTAGCACACAGCTCAAATACACACATGGGTCTAGCAATCAGTTTTAATACACAAGCCTTAATTAAATTCTAACACTAGCTGGATCCAGAATTTAGGGTGCCTTGCACCCACCAACTCATAACAATAGTTTCCTATTTACATAATCAAACCATCTAAGTAATGTGACTGGCTATGCATTGCCAAAAAGAGGGTACCAGTTTGCACATGCAGGCCTCTCTACCTGAAGTTGAAGGGGAATGAGGGGAGAAATCTGTACCATTAGTCTCCAGATATTAACAGGGCAGCCCTTGTCCTTCCTCTCCCACTGAAACAGACTCCCCACAAAGAGGTAAATCCCTTTAGTGTCCACCACTTTGGGGTCACGGCCACCCATATAGCCTCAACTCCCCAATAGCCACAGTATTAGCCTCTTAATTGGAACTTTCCCTCAAAAAACCCTATTAGTTCTTGGTGTGACAAATACCTTCTTCCGAGCAGGAGAGTCTAACCCAGAGCTCTCCAAACCGTGTGTCGCTGCTCATTAGTGTGTCGCTTGCAGTGTGAAGTTGTGTCACACAAATGCTCCCCATGCTTCTCCCAGGGCTGGAAAGGGGTTAGTTTAACCTCCGGTTTGCTAGTAAAACTGAATTACTGTGTTGCGAAATGATTCACGTCTAAGAAGTGTGTCACCAACTTGGAAAGTCTGGAAAGCTCTGGTCTAACCCTGGAACTTCCTTATTTCAAAGGGGAGTTTTGGTAACCAAGATATATATCCCGGTTATCTTCAATCACTGCATAATTATGCCATTACCTCCCCAAAAGTCCCAGAAAATGTGAATTCCTGTTTCCTTCCTTCCTTCTTTTCTCATTCCAGTCTTGCTACACTTTCTTTTTCTCCACTGCTACATATTTTGTTTCTCAACAAATGCTTTCCTTGTCATTTGGCAGGATTGACTGCTGACCTCCCAGCACCAGAGTTATCTTTTGATAAAGGGTGGTATATTAATAGAATATAATAACAATAACAATAATAAACTATTCATTTATTAGTCTTTAAGGTGCCACATTGTCTCCCTGCTTATTTAACTTATATGCAGAATTCATCATGCGAAAGGCTGGGCTGGATGAATCCCAAGCCGGAATTAAGATTGCCGGAAGAAATATCAACAACCTCAGATATGCAGATGACACAACCTTGATGGCAGAAAGTGAGGAGGAATTAAAGAACCTTTTAATGAGGGTGAAAGAGGAGAGCGCAAAATATGGTCTGAAGCTCAACATCAAAAAAACGAAGATCATGGCCACTGGTCCCATCACCTCCTGGCAAATAGAAGGGGAAGAAATGGAGGCAGTGAGAGATTTTATGTCCTTGGGCTCCATGATCACTGCAGATGGTGACAGCAGCCATGAAATTAAAAGACGCCTGCTTCTTGGGAGAAAAGCAATGACAAACCTAGACAGCATCTTAAAAAGCAGAGACATCACCTTGCAACAAAGGTCCGTATAGTTCAAGCCATGGTTTTCCCAGTAGTGATGTATGGAAGTGAGAGCTGGACCATCAAGAAGGCTGATCGCCAAAGAATGGATGCTTTTGAATTCTGATGCTGGAGGAGACTCTTGAGAGTCCCATGGACTGCAAGAAGATCAAACGCATCCATTCTGAAGGAAATCAGCCCTGAGTGCTCACTGGAAGGACAGATCCTGAAGCTGAGGCTCCAATACTTTGGCCACCTCATGAGAAGAGGAAGACTCCCTGGAAAAGACCCTGATGTTGGGAAAGATGGAGGGCACAAGGAGAAGGGGACGACAGAGGACGAGATGGTGGGACAGTGTTCTGGAAGCTACAAGCATGAGTTTGACCAAACTGCGGGAGGCAGTGGAAGGACAGGAGGGCCTGGCGTGCTCTGGTCCAGGGGGTCACGAAGAGTCGGACACGACTAAACGACTAAACAACAACAACAATTACATAGATTCTATATCTTTAAGTGTACACATGCTGCCTGTTTTGATCTCTTCAATTGAAAATGATAAGTGAATGTTGAGATATTTCCTAAGTTGCGCACTGTTATCATATATCAAACCAAAATTGCACCATGTGTCTGTTTTTTTGCAGGGGGTGGGGTTCCTGTCAATACTTATTCCCCTCCCCTAGCGTTATAATAATAAATTTTATTCGTATCCCACCCTCCCCAGCCAAAGCCAAGCTCAGAGCTGCTAACATCATATAAATAAGACCATATGCACAATACAATTAATCAATCAAAATTAAGATACATCCCACAATTAATTCAAACAATTAAAACTAAAACTAAAACTGGACATGTGGCAATCTTCAGGTTAAAATTGGAAGCGGTTAATATTTGCCAAGACCAACTGTTTCCACTGATATTATAAGGACCTATGAGTGGGCTGGGAACCTCCTTCGCGCTTGTTCTTATACAAAGAGAAAATGAGTCAGGCTGAACCCTGACCAAAGGCCTGGCGGAACAGCTGTGTCTTGCAGGCCCTGCAGAAAGATGTCATATCTCACAGGGCCCTGGTCTCTTGGGGAAGAGCGTTCCACCAAAAAGGCCAGTCTGATCTCCCTGGGGCCCAGAATCTTCAGGGTGTTATTATTAAAGTCCTCCGTGGGGCAGAACAGGAGAGGCAGTCTTGTAGGTACGAGGGTCCTAGGCCGTGAAGGGCTTTAAAGGTTAAAACCAGCACCTTGAACCTGACCCTGTACTCCACCGGGAGCCAGTGCACTGGGTGAATGTGATCTCGCAGCGAGGACCCCGTAAGGAGTCTCACTGTGACATTCTGCACCCGCTGGAGTTTCTGGGTCAGTCTCAAGGGCAGCCCCACGTAGAGTGAGTTACAATAATCCAGTCTGGAGGTGAGCGTCGCGTGGATCACAGTGGCGAGGTCGGGGCGAGAGACGTAAGGGACCAACTGCTTAGTTTGGCGGAAATGAAAAAATGCCGCCTTTGTTGTCTTCTTGATCCTTGTCCATCCTGGCTAATAAAAGCAAGCTGGGAAGGGCTGGGCGATGGGCTCTGTGGGCTGGTGAATGCTTCTCTCTGTGAGGTAGCCTTCCGAGACCTGCTGAAAGAGGCTGTCATTAAACCACTTTTTTTAAAAAAAATCTTTAGACCTGGCTAATATTGCCAACTATCACCCAGTCTCAAATCTTCCATTCTTGGGCAAGGTGACTGAGCAGGTGGTTGCTGAACAACTCCAAGCACGCCTGGAGGATGCGGACCATTTGGATCCTTTCCAGTTGGGATTCAGGCCTCACCACGGGACTGAAACTGCCTTGGTCGCGCTGGTTGATGATCTCCGGCGGGCTAGGGACAACAGTTCTAGTTCTGTTTCCTAGTTCTGCTGGATCTCTCAGTGGCTTTTGATACCATCGACCATAGCATCCTTCTGGACCGTCTTGAGGGGCTGGGAGCTGGGGGCACTGTTATACCAGCTCCATCTGGTACGCAGGCTGAGATCCTACCTGCCCGCAGACTGTCTCGCCAGAGTGGTGCATGCTCTGGTTATCTCCCATTTGGACTACTGCAATGCACTCTACGTGGGGGCTACCTTTGAAGGTGGCTCAGAAATTGCAATCACCATATTTTCTTCTCTATAAGACTCACTTTTTCCCTCCTAAAAAGTAAGGGGAAATGTGTGTGCGTCTTACGGAGCGAATGCAGGCTGCACAGCTATCCCAGAAGCCAGAACAGCAAGAGGGATTGCTGCTTTCACTGCGCAGCGATCCCTCTTGCTGTTCTGGCTTCTGAGATTCAGAATATTTTTTTTCTTGTTTTCCTCCTTTCCTAAAACTAGGTGCATCTTGTCATCTGGTGCGTCTTATAGAGCAAAAAATACAGTAATCCAGAATGCGGCAGCTAGACTGGTGACTGGGAGCGGCCGCCGAGACCATATAACACCGGTCCTGAAAGACCTACATTGGCTCCCAGTACGTTTCTGAGCACAATTCAAAGTGTTGGTGCTGACCTCTAAAGCCCTAAACAGCCTCGGTCCAGTATACCTGAAGGAGCGTCTCCACCCCCATCATTCTGCCCTGACACTGAGATCCAGCACCGAGGGTCTTCTGGCCTGTGAGAAGTGAGGTTACAGGGAACCAGGCAGAGGGCCTTCTCGGTAGTAGCGCCTGCCCTGTGGAACGCCCTCCCAGCAGATGTCAAGGCAATAAACAACTATTTTACTTTTAAAAGACAACTGAAGGTGGCCCTGTTTAGGGAAGTTTTTAATGTCTGGTGCTGTATTGTTTTTAATATTCAGCTGGAAGCTGCCCAGAGTGGCTGGGGAAACCCAGCCGGGTGGGGTAAAAATAATAAATTATTATTGTAACCTGCACCTACACAGAAAGGGAGGCATTGAAGATTACATCCAAACTCTTGTCGGAAGGCACTGGCAATTCTCTCAAGGGATGGGCGTTCTGTTTTCCATCTGGACTCCACCCAAAACATTGGTCTACAAAAGCCACTGAGGATCCCAGAGAATCAAAGCATCACTCTCCAGGGAATGGCAGAGATGAAGGTTCTGGCCCTCACCCTCTTCTGCCTCCTCCTTGCAGGAAATGAAGCCAAAAGGTTTGATAAATGTGAACTGGCTAAGCGTATGAAACAGGAGGGGTTGGATGGCTATCATGGCATCAGCCTGGCTGACTGTGAGTTTGCTCTTCCTTTCACTTCATCTTTGCAATTTCTGGTGTTTTAAGGGCAAAGCTGAAATGGGGACTTCTTTTCGGGAAAAGGTTCACACACCCTGCTGCCCATCAAAATGTCCCAACTTTCATTTGTTGTTTGTGCAAATTTCTATTTAAGGCCATGGGGGGGGTAGACGTTACAGACAGCTTCCGTAGTGAACATTGAAAGAAAGTTTTTGAATTATTCTTTGTTTCAAAATGCTGCAAATTTGACCAAAAAAAAAATGCACACCGAGCGTATACCCAAATTGTAGCCCTTTTCTTGTCCATTTTGTTCCAGGGGTCTGTACTGCTTTTCATGAAAGCAGATTTGACACCAGTGCCGTTGGGCCACCAGACTCCGATGGCAATCGTGACTATGGAATCTTTCAGATAAGCAGCCGCTGGTGGTGCGACAATGGACATCGCCCAACAGCCAACGTGTGTGAAACCTCCTGCAATGGTAAGCAACTTGATACTGCAAGGATTGCTAGCTCACACTTCTTTAATTCAGTTCACATTTGAAGGTGAATCTACCTAATTTGCACTTTCTGAAATAATACACGGACAAACACACTGCACATTCTTCAAAACTCACACTTCTAATCTTGCAATGCCCTTCTCAAGCCAACTGCATTGGGCACAGTATGCCTACAAATAGATATATTTACAAAAATTACATACAAAAGTACATTAGATTACAAAAAATTGCATACAAAGCTGTCATTCAGGAGAATTTCACACTAAAAAACTGCTGAATTTACATGAAGACTTTTAAAAGAAAGAAATCCCCAACCTCCCTCCCTCCACCCCTAGGTGTCTCTGTCCAGCTCTCAGGACTGTCCTTAGTCAGTGGTCCCCAATGTTTTTGGTATGGTGACCGACAAATCCAAATTTGCAAGACATGGTGACTACAGATTTATTGTCAAATGAATTTTGGACCTTAGGACTTCCATAAATGCTGGTACCATTATCTTAATAAATTTTAAAATGTGTCTCCCACACTTCTCTCTTCCTGTGCCCCCATCTTTGTTGAATTTGTGATGAACTTTTAATGACAGACTTAATAATAAAAATTAAAACTACATAATGAAATTCAAAATGTTTCACATAGTATAGGTTCCATTTATTCATTTGAGTTAAAGCCATTGGAGTGAGCACAGGAAAAATTTTAGAGAGTACAGTCATTGCTGCTTTCCTCCCCCCCCCCCCTTCATGTTTACCATGGGAAGCCAGCTGTGCCCTGTTTGTCCTGACTGTGCCACTAAATATTGTTTTTACATGCAAACATACACACTGGTACTGCTGTTGTTGAATAACACCAGGGAGTACTCCTTGTACCAGGAAAATCTATACAAGGTAGCCAGACAATACTATTGCATACACACAGAGCACACACCTAATCATCATCATCATCATCATCATCATTTATTTATACCCCGCCCATCTGGCTGGGTTTCCTCAGCCACTTTGGGCAGCTTCCAACAAAAGAGTTAAAATACATCAAACATTAAAAGCTTCCCTAAACAGGGCTGCCTTCAGACGTCTTCTAAAAGCCTGGTAGTTGTTCTTCTCTTTGACATCTGGTGGGAAGGCGTTCCACAGGGCAAGTGCCACCACCGAGAAGGCCCTCTGCCATGTTCCCTGTAGCTTTGCTTCTCACAGTGAGGGAACCGCCAGAAGGCCCTCGGAGCTGGATCTCAGTGTCCGGGCAGAACAATGGGGTGGAGCAGAGGCTTGACAACCATATGTCAGGAGTGCTCTGATGGTGTTTCCTGCTTGGCAGGGGGTTGGACTCGATGACGCTCCTTCAGGTCTACTGGGCCTTTGAGGCCGTTTAGGGCTTTAAAGGTCAGCACCAACACTTTGAATTGTGCTTGGAAACGTACTGACACATACAGACCACAGACATACAGACAAGTTTTGTGTCTCTTGCTCCACCTTATACTACACAGATATACAATCACTCAGATATGCCTCTCTCTCTCTGCTCAGGCGCTTGTCTTCCTCTCTCTCATGCACCACACGTGCAAGCGTGCATCCCTCTGCCCTCACCAGCAGCGTAGTGTGGGTTGCCGCCCCCTCCCTGGTTGGGGCGGGGGCCAGGGGGTGGCACGCAGAGCCCCCAGAGGGTGGACGGAGCCCGCCCCCAGCAGGCTCTTTGACTGCTGCCTCCATCCACCTGCCCACCAGACCAACCTGCCTGCTGCTGTGCCTCAGCTGCCAGGGCTCGGTGCCTGTCATGGGGATCTTCTTTTTCTTCTTCTTCTTCTTCTGCTTCTTCTTCCTTTTCTTCTGTGGCAATCACTCGTAGCTGAGTAAGATTGTCTACCATAAACATGGTTTTAACAGTGAATTGTAGAGGCCAATTCTGGATCCACACGTCCTTCCACAGGGGGGACATTGGTTTCTGGGCAGGAGTTGATCACGGTGAGGATTGGCCAAGCGTGCCTTCCTCTTAGCACGTTTCTCCCTTGTGTCCTGAGTTCGAGTGTCTTCAAAGCCCAGGACACCTTTGGTCAAGGCTGGTCTCCAGCTGCAGCGCTCACAGGCCAGTGTTTCCCGATTGTTGCCTCCTGCTGTGCCTCAGCTGCCAGGTCTCGGTGCCTGTCATGGGGATACCTGATTGCACACCCTCAAAAATGTGTGCTGGGGCGATGACCCCTCTGGCTCCTCCACGCTACACCTCAGCCCCTCTCACACACAGACACACACTGCCCTCTTCCCTTCTGACCACACATACGTGTAACCCCTTTTTCTCACTTGCACAAAACAACATGTAAATCTGTCCCTCCCTTCTTCCATCACACACACATCACAAATACATCTCTCCCACCTCCCTCACACAACTTGCACATCTCTCTCGCAGTCACACACACATTACTTGAGCGCTAATATCCCAATTCTAAAAAGCATCTTCATAGGGCTAAAGAACCACCTGCCAGCAGTGCCACCTAGTGGGCAGCAACACCCCTTACCATCCGAGGAGACCTCTGCCTCCCCTTTACTTCTCCAACCCTTTTAAAAACAAAACATCCCAGCACAAGGCAAAGGAGGCACCTGCTTGTGGCTGATGGATAGCAGAATCCTGAATGTGCCGGGGCAGCCCTGCTGCTCCTCCCCATCGCACCCCTGCCATTTAGTCTTACTTATCATGGGACTAACAAGGCACTCACTGCTTGCTGGCAGGCAGCAGCAGCCGGAGCATGCAGGGATCACTGCACATCTCCTTCCTTCCTTTCATTTTATTTCAAGTAATCTGGAGGCAGGCAGCTGTGTGAAGAAAGGTCCTAGCACTCCTTACCAAAGTATTCCAACGGGGGGGGGGGGGAGCACTGAAGAACTTGACCCACTTCAGCTGGTTTGGCTGCCCACTTGCAGGTCGGGACCCACAGGCTGGGAAACATGGCCCTAGGCCATGACCTTGATGTTTGATGCCTGCTTTCATCTAAGGCTACGGCTCTGGGAGAAGGCAGGCCCCCTTTGGGGTGTTGACGCTGTGTACCCCTTCATGGCAGGCCCAGGTTGTAGATATGTGTAAGTAAACCATATAATATTGGTCAGGCTGGCCCCCTCCAAGGATGCAGGTCTGGGGGTGGGGTGCAAAACTGTGCCTCTCCACTCGGGTTCAGAGTGGCTGGCATCCCACCAGGCCATCAGTGTGCTCCCCAGACCACTGGGCAATACAGCTCCTGACCCAGGGTTCGAGGGACAAGGAGGGTGTTGATGCAGGGCAGAAGAGGAGGCAGCCATGGGCATAGCCATGGGGGGCAGGGAGGCAGAAAGAAAGACTGAACTAACTGACCAATCACGTCCAAAAAATGGAACTGCTGTGTCCTTGACCTCTGACATTTGACCTCTAACCCTCTAATTCAGGCTTGGAGTTGGATAGACCTCTAGGAAAAGGCATCCCACAGTTCAGAGGCAGCCTCTGCAACCTTGGGGGTGTTTGTATTCTGGGGTTTGCATTTTAGGAATCCCCAGTAACCTCCTTTGCTTTCTGACAAATCTTTGCCAGCATTCTTAAATGATGACATCACAGATGATATCAAGTGTGCCAAGAGGATTGTCCTTGACCACCAGGGGATGGGTGCCTGGTAAGTGCTAATATCTCAGGGCTTGTAACATTCAATACCTGTCAAGTTTTCTGTTCACATAACTGTGTAGAGGAAGGTGGTTTCACTTGACTGTTGTACAGCTGGCAGCTAAAGATCCTTCCCCAATAGGCACTGACAAGGGCTAAAGATGCTTCCTTAAATGTACAGCCAATAGTGCCCTCACTGCTCTGGGACCCTGCTGCCCTTCTCCACTTCCCCTGAGTAACTGGCAGCATCACACAGTGCTGGGAAGCCAGGAAAAGACCGCAGCCCCACCCGCATCACAAAGCCAGCTACCACTGTGTGCAGCAAACACTTGGTAGCTGTCTTGGTGGGGATTTAAGGACATGATTTGGCAACTGAGCCAATGTGGAGTAGTGGTAAGAGAGGACCTGGGAGACCAGAGATCAAATCCTGACTCAGCCAGGAAGTTCACAGGTTGACACTGAGTCAGTCACTGTCTCACAACCCAGCCTACAGTGTTTTTCTAAGGGGAAGAACCATGTATGCCACCTTGAGCTCCCTGGAGAAAAGGTGGGGTATAAATGCAGTAATAAATAAATAGGAATGCAGGAAAGGAGGAGACGGCCTGAGTTCTGTCATGGGCTGGAGCGAAGTCCTGGGGCAGATGGTTCACTTCCCAAGTTTGCTTGGAGGTCTTTCACAGAAGGCTATCAATGCTTAGCAGCCACAATGACTCTGTTCCACCTCCATTCTTAGGCACAATGTGCCTCTGAATGTGCTTTTCACTCACTGGATCATCACCTTGTCGTGGTGTGTGGGCTTGCACATTCCTATGACCCTTGGGAGCGAGGCAGTCGGGAGTCTCGTACTCCCAGCAGGGTCCCCCAAGGCGGTAGGGTCAAAGGGGAGGAGCTAGACAAAGAATGATCCAAGAAGTCCTCAGTGGCAGGACCGTGAAACTGGAAGCCCCTAGTCATGAACCGGCACATGGGAGGTGGATACAGATTCAGACTCAAGGAATGAGGCAGTTGAGCAGCTCGACAGCTGTATCCATGACTGAGCAGTAAAGTTCCATGGGATGGGATAGGATGGGAAGCAAAATTTTGCTAGAAGGGCACCATGGGCTGTTAATAGGTAAACTTCCCGTTGACCGCTTAAACTGATCATCAGCAGAGAATGACCCTGCAGCTGACACAAATGCCTCACTTGGAAATGTTGTGGAGCTTTTAAAGAAGATCCACCTCACTTGTAGTTAGTTATCCAAGCAACAGTCATGTGGCTTCCCTTGCTTCATTTTTTGCTCTTATTCTGACTTTTAGGGTTGCTTGGAAGGAACATTGCAAAGGAAAAGATCTCTCTGAGTGGACAAAAGATTGCAATCTCTGAGTTCCATGGTCCTGAATGAATTCCAGCATTTCTCTTGAGATCCCCTTTGATGAAACATCTACCTACTGCCATATAATCAAGATCCAGCTGCTTCTTTCTGGGCTAGCATTGGCATGTTGTGCCCCACCCCATGGTGGAGGGAAATGGCCCTCTTTCTAGATGAGGGAAAGTGATTATTATTTTTAAGTGTGTCTGGGGTGGTGAGTCATCTTGCTTTGGATTGAGAGCTTCTCTGCTTGAAAATCTTCAATAAACTGAACATAAACAAAACTCTTTTCTTGCTTGATTGGTAAATAGAAATAACAGAATTAGGTTAAGCATCATCGTCTCATCATAATTGGCAGGGAGGTGCAGAGGCGTATCTAGGTCCCTTGCACCCTGGCAAGGAGCTGTATGGGCACACACACACCAGAAAAATCACTTCTCGCACATGTGATCTTGCTGCGACAGCAGCAACGCACTGCCACACACATACACATCATAATCTCCCGCAGTCTACCTTCATGCTTCCTCTCTCCCACCACTCAGCTCCCAGCTCTTGTCTAAACTCATGACCTTATACAGATAACTAGTGACAGATTTCTGAGGTGATTTACAAATGTCAGATGGATTGGAAAATGGGCCTCAAGTTTGCAGTCAGTTTAAAATTGGAACACATCCTACAACATTCCCATTATTTCCTGACTGACTTTCTCCTGCTTATTACTTCTGGTACATCCTATTATGAAGTTTTCCAGGCATTCTATTATCCCTTCAAATGACCAGGCCTGCCTTGATTTGGACTGGCTCTGCAGTGCTGAGGAAGAGGCTGTGCCTAATCCTTTCTCCCCACATCAGGTGCAACTGCCTTCCTGAAGATGTCAGCTGAGGGGGAAACTCAAACGTCAGGTGTGGCACCGCAAGATAGCTATATCAACCAACACACGTCTCTCCTCTTAAGTGCAGGGGCACTGCTGGGTTTAAGCAGGGTTGGTCAATGGAGATCAGGGGCATGATGGATGAGGCCATAAATTTCCCACTGCAGTCATAAATGTCTGCCCACGTACTGCAGCAAAATAGTAGTCTGGCTACGAGCAGAATTGCTGTGCTTGGACAGAGAATGACACATCAGACATGAAACCTAAAACAGGATGTAAGCAGGCGCCCAGGGCCCTTCTGACCCCTTGAGCTTTAGAAATGGGGAAGTTCCAGCTTTGCAAACAGTTTTTGGAAATATTCCTTATTTCCCCAACTGCTCAACTGAATTGAACCTTGCTCTAATGGTATGGATTTATTCGGTTGGGGTGGTGCACATCTCTTTGTTTTGTTACCGGAGAAATCCGAGGGCTCCCTTGGACAAAAAAAACCAGGACACCAGCCAGGAATACCAGAGCAAAACAGCAGCCAGTAGGCTTGGTCTTTATTGAAGACTGTCATGACAGGACTCCCACCTGCCACCAGGTGAAACGAAATGGAAGCCCAGAACAAAAGAAGACCCCAACTTTTATTAGTTACTAATCCCCCAAGCTACACCCCTAAAACTACATCACAACTACATCATGACTACATCATTGACACATCACAAAAAGGAGGGGTTGAGGCTGCCTCTGAACTGCGGAATGCCTTTTCCTAGAGGTCTATCCAACTCCAAGCCTGAATTAGAGGGTTAGAGGTCAAATGTCAGAGGTCAAGGACACAGCAGTTCCATTTTTTGGACGTGATTGGTCAGTTAGTTCAGTCTTTCTTTCTGCCTCCCTGCCCCCATGGCTATGCCCATGGCTGCCTCCTCTTCTGCCCTGCATCAACACCCTCCTTGTCCCTCGAACCCTGGGTCAGGAGCTGTATTGCCCAGTGGTCTGGGGAACACACTGATGGCCTGGTGGGATGCCAGCCACTCTGAACCCGAGTGGAGAGGCACAGTTTTGCACCCCACCCCCAGGCCTGCATCCTTGGAGGGGGCCAGTCGGAGGACGCGGCCTGCGCGCTTCTTTCCCCTCCCCGGGCTGCCTCCTCTCCCCGCTGCCCGGGGCGGGAGACACGAAAGCGGCCCTCGAAACCTCTCAGGGCTGTCGCCAGGCCCCGCCCCCGGAAGTCCGCCCTCGCTGCCCCGCCCCACCAATGGCACGTGACCCGGGATCATAGAGTTGGGGGGATCCCGGGGTCTTCCTTCCGGTCCCTGTGGGCAAGCGAGACCGAGGCGCAGGATGGCTCCGGCGGGGCTGCTGCGGGCGCTGGCGGCGCCTCTGCGCTGGGGTAGGTGCCCTGCTCCGTGCGCCTCGGAGGGAGGGGGCTGGGAAGGGCCTCTGTGGGAGCGGGACCTCAGTCTCCCCGCCTGGCCTGGGCGCCCTCTCCGATCAGGCTCAGAACCCGAGGAGAGCCTGGCTGGATCCAGGCAGCACCCTGTCCCCGCGGTCACCAAGTGGTGCCCATTAGGCAAAACCAGGGCGCAGGATCGGAGCACAAGAGCAACGCCGCTTCGGCCTGGGGTTCCCAGAAACGGGCATTTGGAGGCATTGCTGCTTCTGAGCCCGGAGGCAGAGCACAGCCATCACCGAGAGCCCTCCTCCTCTCCTCCTCCTCTGTAAAATTGTCTGAAGTTGGTGGCCATCACTGCTTCCTGGAGGAGCAAGTTCCACAGTTTAACTGCCCTGCGTCAAAAAAGTCTCCCTATTATCTGCCCTGAATCTTCTAATATTTAGCTTCATTGCATGTCAAGAGGTCCTAGGGAGAAAGAGAGACGCTTTTCTCCACCCACTCTCTCCATGCCAGACTTAACTTTATCAACTTCTACCGTGTTGCCTCTTACTCACCTAAGCCAAGAGGCTCCAATTGCCACCACCTTTCTTCCTGGGGGGGGGGGTGTCTCTCCACCCCCTTGGTCATCTGGCCCTTTCCTAACCCTTGCATTTTTCTTTTGCCAGGAGCTGCTGCCCTCCCTCGCAGCTTCCTTCCACCACCCTGGCCGGTGCTGCCACCCCCAAGCTGCCCTATGGCCACCCTCAACCAGATGCACCGCAAAGGCCGCCCCAAGCTGCCTCCGCCAAAGCCCGGCCCCACCGGTGGCTGCCCCAGCTCAAAGGGGTGGTGCTGAAGACCATGATCCGAAAGCCCAAGAAGCCCAACTCGGCCAACCGCAAGTGCGCCCGCGTGCGGCTCAGCAACGGCAAGGAGGCCATCTGCTTCATCCCGGGCGAAGGGCACAACCTGCAGGAGCACAGCATCGTCCTGGTGGAGGGCGGGAGGACGCAGGACCTGCCAGGGGTCAAGCTCAAGGTCGTGCGGGGAAAGTATGACTGTGCCCATGTACAGAAGAAGAAGTGAGCCCAGGCTGGGCCAGGCATGGAGCCAACTGGGCCTGCGCTTTCACAGGCAGCTTCCAGAAGCCTCCAGGGCTGTGGATTGCAGTCAAGGAGGCAGAGCAAAGGATCTCTCTCTGGGAGAAAACTTCCATTCCTGGAGACTTGGCTTGGAGGGTGCCTGGAACTCTTCCAGCTGGAATTTTTCAAGGCAATTGGCTGCCTCTTCCTTCTTATATGTCTAGATGGCAGATTCAGCATGCCAAGAGAACGAGGAGAACTCCAAGGCATGGTGTGGGGGGAGAGGGAGGGTTTTGTGTTCCTAAATAAAGAGTGCCGTAATAACTTCCCTGCCTCAGTCTTTTGGAGAGATGGACTCAAAGCCATTGCGGGGGTTGGACTAGATGCTGCCTTGGGCTCCTTCCAACTCTGCAATTCTATTTTTTTTTTTTTAAATAAGTTTTTATTAGTTTTCCATAAATAAAAGAGAAACATAGTAGAAAACATATGCAAACACCAAAAACGGCTTCCCCATACCACCCCTTTTCTGCATTCATATTTCAAGATTCTCCAGCAACCCTTTCGTATTAAACTTATTTCTATTTCATAAATATATCTTCCATAAAATAATAAAACAACTGTAGTTCTTTATCTCTTATTACCCTGGTCTTCTAATTTTCCGCCAACTCTGCAATTCTACACTCACGCTTGCCCTGGCCTGTTTCATACTCAGTCTCTCCTGTAGTTTCCCCAAATATTATTGAACTTATGACTGTCGGGGACATTCCCAGATATCTTAATTTGCTTGGAATTATTTTTTTGGATAACCAGAAGGAAACTAGATCAGCACGGTTCAGCATAGCTTCCCGTTGATCTTTTGCTCCGTTGCAGTGGCAACTCTGGGCAAGGCCAGAGGCTTCCTGAAGTGGTGTGAAGTCTACCTTGGTTTCCTTTCTTTTAGAAGCAGGTCACAGCTACATGTCTCTCTCCACCACCACAGCAGATGCAAGCTGCCTTCATATTCTGTGACTGTGTGTGTCAATAAGGGAAACACACCCAAAACCATTAGTCTCTTCCTTCATTTCCTTTCCTTTCTCCCTTCTTTGCTGTCAACAACATACAATTATGAGACAAAACACAGAATAGGGATTGAAAACTGGACGTTAGTAAAATCCTTTATTCTCTTAACATTAGTCATGCTGGATTCCAGACTGTCCATACTTATCATTTGATATGGGTGCTCCTAAGAGAAGCTGTTTCTGGTGCTTAGAGATCACCCTTTGTCAGGTTTAAGGATTGTGCACCATCTTCAGAAACAGGAGACAAAAATTCTGTGGCAGAATCCCAGCCAGTTTTGCTTTAGTCTTAGGTATCCATCATTCACAGAAAGGTGTTGCTAGATGTCCCTGCAGAGTCTGCGGTGGCCCTTTCACTGTACCCACACATAGCTGTCAACATTTCCCTTTTTTAAAGGGAAATAAATTCCCTTATTCCAAATAGGATTCCTTGCAAGAAAAGGGAAAAGTTGGCAGCTATGTACCCACAGCTTGCCTTAGGGCAAGGCAAGTCTCCTTGGACAGAATGGCCACAGATACAGCAGCGACTCTTGCCCTTCTTGAAGCAGCCCGGTAATACTGATCTCAAATATTTGCTTGCTTGTTCTCTCCTTTATTTATTAGATTTTATACCTAGATACTGTAATTCCCCTCAAAACCTTGACCTGGCTAGCTATGATTTTGCCTCACTGTGTGTTCCTAGAGGGCTGGCAACTGCTGTTATGGTGGCATTCTACTAGGGAGAGCTCGAAGCGCTGGTTGTGGAAAGTTAATGGCAGCATGGATGCAAGCTCCTCTGTGCTTAGCTGCTGAGAAGGTGTTTTGCCTCAATGTTCAGCAGCAGAGAAATTGAACCCACCTCAATGGTTAGAGCTACCCAAGCGCAGCATCCCCAGTGAGAGATTTTCTTGCTGCAACAAAGGTCTTGCCACAGTGCCTCCAAGGACCACTCAGGGGCAAGGTGCACGCAGAGGGGGGGCGCTCACTGATGCAACAGGATGTGCCTGTATCCTCTTTGCTGGTTGGACGAGCGTTGGATCATTACCCAGTTGCTCTCTGCCCAACCAGACCCAAAGACCAGTCCCTTGTTTGGCCAAAGCCAGAATGATAGAGCAAGGTCTCTTTTCCCCAAGTCCGGCTGAGGAGGCAGAAACTGGTCTCTTCTACCTGACTTGCAACTCTCCCTTCCTGGAGCATCTGCCGCTGCAGCAAGCGCCTCCTCCAGTGCCCCATAGCACAGTGTTTCCCAAACGTTTTTGGGCAACGGCACACCTGTTTACCGGAAAAAAATCTCGCGGCACACCACCATTAAAGCCCCGCCCCGTGACGTCAGCGCGCAGCGTCACGCCGGGAGGGACGCACAAAAGTCAAAGTTTTTTCCCTCCCCGCGAAGCAATGAAAGAGGGCGCCTCAACACCGGGAGGTGGGCAGGGAGCGGGGGGAGCGGCCAGACGGGCTCCGCTGGGGGACTTTCGGCTGCCGGAGGCGGGGAAGGGGCGGCTGCAGCGGACCCGGAAGTGGTTGCGCCCATCGGGGGCGGTGGGAGCGCGCCGTGCGGGTTGGTGGGTGGGGGAAGGAGAGGAAGAGGAGGGGGCGGCGGCGGCGGCCGGAGGCTGGACGGATCCGCGCAGGGACGGCGCGCGAGCCGGGAGGAGGCGCGAAGAAGGAGGCAAGGCGAGAGCAGCGCGGCTCGGGATGCATTCGGACTGCCGGCTGCTGCGCCCGAGACGCGGGGTATGGTGAGCAGCCCGGAGCGCCCGCTCCCCCGGGGGACCCGGCCGGCGCTGGCCTCCCTCCTCCTCCTCCTGTTGCTGCTCAGGCGGGACGCGGCGGCGCAGAAAGGTGCGTGCGGGAGCCCCGCCGGGAGGGGAGGGACCAGAGCCTTCCCGCCTTTCTTGCTTGGCGCCCACCCAAAAGCCCGCCGGGTTTTCGCGCCTTCCTCCAGTAGGCCGGCCGAAGCGAGCGGCGATGGGATGTGGGAGCTCGCTCGCTCGCCGCCCCGCGTGTGCTCGCCGCCGCCGCCCCGACTCTCGCCGCCCGACTCGCCCGCCTCCCTCCCACGGCACACCAGCCGGTGTCTCACGGCACACTAGTGTGCCGCGGAACACCGGTTGGGAACACTGCCATAGCAGGACTTCTCTGAGACAGGTTGAAAAACACTCTTGGAGGTACAGATAGGTAGCCGTGTTGGTCTGCCATAGTCAAAACAAAAAAGTTCCTTCCAGTAGCACCTTAAAGACCAACTAAGTTAGTTCTTGGTATGAGCTTTCGTGTGCAAGCACACTTCTTCAGATACACAGATTTTGTTGTAAGCGATGGTGTTTTCTGGTCACATCTGTTTGGATTCTGTGGCGGAAGCAGTCAATGTACAAGTCCAGTGTGGTATTGCATCCATCAGGAGGGGTCCATGTGGAGTCCCTTTTTGTGTAACACTTTTTCGGTGGTAGTTGGTGGTCAGTGTTCTGTTGGGAGGGTGGTTGTTGTTCTCCAGTGGGTTGAGAGGTGTTGTGTTGTGAAGTTGTTGTTTGTTCTGATTTGTCTTGTTGTTGTGTGTGTTTGAAAATACTCCTTCAGGCGTAAACGGCGAAAAATGCTTCCAAGTCCCCGTAGAACTGAATCATGTGTGGGGATTTGGGCAGGGCAGAATGACAGTCCACGTGAAAGGACTGATTCCTTGGCTGGGCTGAGTGCTTGCTGTGAGAGATTGACAATATTGTTGATCTTGTTTTGATTAGTAGCCTGTAGGTTGGAAAGGTTAGAGAGTTTCTTGTTTTTCTGTTTTTTCAGTAGCTCCAGTTGAGAGTGGTAAATGTTTTGTTTTTCCTTTTGTATCTGAAGAAGTGTGCTTGCACACGAAAGCTCATACCAAGAACTAACTTAGTTGGTCTTTAAGGTGCTACTGGAAGGAACTTTTTTGTTTTGACTCTTGGAGGTGTAAGGAATAATTGTAATTGCTGAGGGGAAGGCACCCCTCACATGCTCAGAGGCACTCTTGAGTATAAAAAATGGGCAGAATCATAGAAATTAACAGGGGGACAAGTTGGCTGCACTGATGGGCAACAGGGAGAGGAGCCCTCCTAACTATGGTGCCCCCGTTTCCTCCAATGTGAGAATCAAGGTGCCTAAGCAGTGGCTCTCCTCAGTTCAAACACTGTGGCTGATGTCAAGGATGATGGGAATTGTAGTCTCTCATCTGGCAATCCGCTGGTTCTCCACCCCTGCTCTAGAAAATGTGCAGTGGGCTTCTGGGCAAGAGAGCGTGGCAAACTCTGGCAAACTGAAGCAGCAGAACAACCCCTCGTCGCTGAGGACAACCGCAGGCCCTGGGCTTTGGGGAGGAGGGGGCAGCCAAGGGTCTTCCTGGGGGAGAGGGGCTCCCCCACAGGGCTCAGGGGCAGAAGAAGACATACAGCGGTCAGGTAAGAGTTCCCAGCCTCAGCTAGGAGGGCAAGTCGTTTTATGGGGCGGGACTTAATTTTTGCACATTTCTTCAGGGAGCGGTCTTAAGAATATGGTTCTGGGCGTGAAGAATTCAAATTTCTTAAGTTTGGTGACTAGATAACGTTAGCTTGGCAAATCTACATTTGATTAAAAAAAGCACATCAACTGCTTTCGAAACCAAATTAATTTATTTTACCTTTTGAAAGTGTCAGGTAATGCTAAAAATGAATAGGATTAATAAATAAAAGTAAAAATATTAATATAAAATATAACTGCAGTCATTTTTAATGATGTCCATGCCATCTTACACACAGTTTAGTTACCAAGCAAAACTAAGTTATATTAATTTAACCAAGAAATCTTTTGAATTTCCAAGTCATTACAACTTCGTTGTAAAAGTCAGCACACCCTACTGTACTTGTCCCTTCACTGCGCCCCCCCCCCCCGCAGTCCTTGTGTTTCTTGTGCTCATTCACATCCTGCACCAAGCCCTGTTTTGCAAAGGGAACTGGGGGCCCCCTGCCCCCCCCCCCCGATCCTGCTAGCCTCATTCATGACTGGGGAAACCTGAGAAATTTCACATTTAAGACACGCCCACCAAAGTCCTTTCAAGAAGAACAAGGATTTATTGAGGTCCAGGGTGAAAACTTGCTATTAAGCCAATTTTTATAAAAGGTTTATAAAAGGTCAAAACAGTGCAACCGGTAAGCAGGGGGATTTCACCAAGGGGGGCCCCTGGACGCTGCCCCCCCGGGAAGTCACGGAAGAGAATTGTAACCTGAGTTAGCCTGAGTTCCCGTCCCCCCTTCTTGGCAGCACCCACAGGGTGGGGTGGGGAAGGGGGTGTCCTCGCACA